CTGTCCGTCCCCTCGCCTGGGGAATGTCTGTGGAAACACTGCTCTAAGAGAAAAGGAAAGTTTCCTCCTACTTCACGTAATAGAGAAAATATGAACATCAGGTATTTGAACAGCAAGGGAAGCATAAAGCCAAAGCCTTAGAGCAAATGTACAGCCAGGCCGATCCCAGCCCAGCTGCTTGTAGGAGAAGCTCCAGCCACAGCCCCTGCGTGCTGGTGGTGGCTGCGGCTTCTGGCTGCCAGGCAGAGCCTTGAGGCCTGGACCCCTCATGGCACCCCAAGGCCTGAGGCTTTCACCACCTGGCCCTTCCCAGACATCTGCTCACCCCTGTGATCAAGGAATATTCCATGACCTAGAGCAGGGAAAGATTTATTTAACAAAACACAAAATCCTCTAACAAGAAAGGAAAGGTTTAAAAATTGGGCTCCTTTGAAGTCTTCCTGCTGTTCAGGATGGAGAATGAAGGCCTGCCAATCATTGAGGGAAGTAACACTACAGGAAAAGAAGGGTGGGCAGGTGCCGGGCAGAGCCGGAAATGCACCAGCCAAATGGAAGTTTATAGAGACGACCCCATGAACCACAGAGGCCTGAGGCTCAGGAATCTAAGGAAGACAGGAAGCCACAGCTACAGGAGGCTCTGGACCCCCTGGGAGGCGGAGTGACGCTTCTCTGGTGAAGCTGAGCATTGATATCCTACCAGGCTTCCACCCATTGGTGCCAACCCTGACAAACACACTCCGTGTACCCACAGGCACAGCAGGGCTGGTTCTGAGGCCGCAAACCGAGAAACAGCCCCACATCCCCCAAAAGAAAGGCAGCTGAACTGCAGCGAGGTCACAAATCAGGACACACACAGCCTGAAATGCAAGGCCACGGGCATGAGCTGGCAGGCGTAACACGGAGGAAGGAAACCAGACACAGGCAACACGGTGACCAAGACTCCACTCACGGTGAAGTCAGAAAAGAACACGGTGACCCCACCTCCACTCACACCAACGCCAGAGAGCAAC